GGACATGGACAACAGGGGGATGAGAACATGAGTGTGGGGGGGAGGTTGGGGGTTACTGGGGGGATGAGGACACATTTTTAATACCTTAACCAATAAAGAAATTAAAGATTAAAAAAATAAAATAAAAAAACATTCATGAGAATGTTTAAAAATCGGACCCCTGGGTGCATTGCTGGGCGAAATGTAAAATAGCGGGGCCACGTTGGAAAAGCAGAGTCACCCGGTGGCCCAGAAGTTCCACTTCTAGGTACATACCAAAAAGAAATGGAAACCTGTTCACACAAAATCTTGTACACAATGTTCACAGCGCCGTTATTCATAAGAGCCTCAAACTGGACACAACCGTAATACTCATCAACTGATGAATGGGTAAACAAAATGTGGTATACCCTGACCTGGACGCTCATGCACTGAGCCACGCCAGCAAAACAACATTTATGTTTTAGATGCATCTTTCAGACAGTTGTTTTCAGAAGCAAAGCCTGGATGTTGTAGAGAGTATGAAGCCAATGCAGAAGGACAGGTACCGGCAGCTGTAGGCCCTACTCTGAGAGATTTCCTGTTCGACAAGACAACTTCATCGGTCGGAAGCCGGTCCATCCTTGCTGCTTGACACAGTCGCTGCATGGAGGATACATCTGCACAGCATGTTTCAAGGGACCTGGCATATATGGCGTAGTGTTCTTCATATGTTTGCTCCCCTTCTTAGTGCTGTGTGTTTTTTTTCTCTTTATTTCTATTACTTTGGTCTTTTTAGATTCCAAATTTGAGTGAGATCATACAATATTTATCTTTCTGTGTCTGAGTTATTTCACTTAACATAATGCCCTCAAGGAGCTTTGAACAAATTTGACACGTAGCCACCATTACAATATACAGAGTAGTTTCATAGCTCTAAAAATCTTCTGTGCTCTGATGAATATCTTATTTTTTATTTTGTTTATTTTGACTGACTAAACTTTACAATTTTCCATTTTTATTTTATTTTTAAACTAGAGGCCTGGTGCACGAGATTCGTGCACTTGGGAGGGGAGGGTCCCTCAACCTGGCCTGTGCCCTCTCACAGTCCAGGAGCCCTCGGGGGATGTCCAACTGCCAGCTTAGGCCCACTCCCCACAAGAAGCGGGCCTAAGCCGGCAGTTGAACATCCTTAGCGCTGCCACAGAGGTGGGAGCTGTGCTTGCCAGCCCTAAGCCCGGCTTCTGGCTGAGCAGCGCTCCCCCTGTGGAAGCACACTGACTACCAGGGGGCAGCTCCTGCGTTGAGCATCTGCCCCCTGATGGTCAGTGCACATGATAGCGACTGGTCATTCCACTGTTCAGTCGATTTGCATATTAGCCTTTTATTATGTAGGACTAGAGGCCCGGTGCACAAAATTCGTGCACGGGGTGTGTGTCCCTCAGTCCAGTCTCCACTCTCTCCAATCTGGGACATCCCTCTCACAATCCAGGACTGCTGGCTCCCAACCGCTTGCCTGTCTACTTGCCTGATTGCCCCTAACTGCTTCTGCCTGCCAGCCTGATCACCCCCTAACCACTCCCTGCCAGCCTGATCGACGCCTAACTGCTCCCCTGCTGGCCTGGTTGCCCCCAACTGCCCTCCCCTACAGGCCTGATCGCCTCCAACTGCCCTCCCTTTCAGGCCTGGTCCCTCCCACCTGTCCTCCCCTGCCGGCCATCTTGTGGCGGCCATCTTGTGACCACATGGGGGCGGCCATCTTGTGGGTTGGAGTGATGGTCGATTTGCATATTACTCTTTTATTAGATAGGATAAGCTTTTTATTTTGAAATATAGATTCACATGCACTTGTAAGAAATAATACAGAGAAATCCTGTGGACCCTTTACTTACTTCCCTCCATGTTAATATATTGCAAAACTGTACACAATTCTATGCAATCAATATCACAACTAGGATATTGACAACTTAATCAATATACAGAACATTTCCACCACAAGGGGTCCCTGGTGTTGCTTTTTTTTACCCACACCTGCCCACATCCCTCCTACCTCACCTCCTTCTTAGAACTTGGGAACCCCTAATCTGTTCTCCATTTCTATAATTTTGCCATTTCCCAAGTTTTATTTTTAAAATATAATCATGTCTTTAAAATGCAGCAAGTTCTTTATCTCATAAAATAAGCAATAAGTGTTCAAACTTCCAATTTTCTCATATTTTTTAGTTTGATTGTTTGAATCATAATTTATACCTTGCAATTAGGTAAGTTTCTTTTAATTGGTAGGTCCCTTCTCCATCTCTTAATTTTTCCCTTCTTTACACAATACAATGTATAGATCTTAACTGTTTTTATTTAATGAATTTTGTATACTCCTATGTAATCATCAAAACTTGCCCTGGCCCAGCAGGCTTGGCTCAGCGTCAACTTATGAACCAGGAGGTAACAGTTTGATTCCCAGTCAGGGCACATGCCTGTGTGGGGCATGCAGGAGACAGCCGATCAATGATTCTCTCGCATCATTGATGTTTCTATCTCTCTCTCCCTCTCCCTTCCTCTCTGAAATCAACAACAAAAAAATTTATTTTAAAAAAACTTGCCCTGGCTGGTGTGGCTCAGATGGTTGGTTCCACCAAAAGGTTACAGGTTCCGCCCTAACCTGTTTGGCTCAGTGGATAGAGCTGCATGCAGACTGAAGGATCCCAGGTTCAATTCTGGACAAGGGCATGTACCTTGGTTGCGGGCACATCCCCAGTGGGGAGTGTGCAGGAGGCAGCTGATCAATGTTTCTCTCTCATCGATGTTTCTAGCTCTCTATCCTTCTCCCTTCCTCTCTGTAAAAAATCAATAAAATATATTTTTTAAAAAAAAAGGTTACAGGTTCCATCCCTGGTCAGGGTGGAGGGAACTGACTGATGTTTCTCTCTCCCTCTCTCTCTAAAAATCAATAATAAATAAATATATATACATATATCTTTGGGTGAGGTTAAAAAATATTTTTTAAACTTCCCATGCCCCCAGAAGTTTCCCTTACATCCATGTCTAGTCAATCCCTCAACAAGAGGCAACCACTTTCTGATTTTTTACTCTCATGTATTAGTTTTGCTTGTTTTACAACTTCATATATATAGAACTCCACAGTATGTGCTCCTTTACGAATGGCTTGTTTCACTGAGTCTGTTTTTAAGATTAATACATGTTTTGCAACTATCAATTGTTTGTACCTTCTATTGCTCAGTAGTATTCTACTTATTAAAATACCACAAGTCATTTATTTATTTATCCGGTGATGGAAGTTTGTATTGCTTCCAGTTTGGGGTTATTACTACTAAGGCTGTTGTGAAGATTCATGCACAAATCATTTTGTGTGCAAATTTTTCCATTTCTTTTGGGAAAATACCAAGAAGTCAGTCATGGAGGTGATGTATGCTTCACTTTATAACAAGTTTCAAAACTTTTTTCCAATGTGGTTGTATCATTTACACTCCCACCAGCAATGTATAAAAGTACTAGTTGGATCCACAGGACTCCACCAACGTTTGCTTTTGCTAGTCCATTTTTATTTTAGTGGAGTGCGATTTTAATTTGCCTTTTCCTGATGATTAATGGCATTGAACACTTTTTCATGTGCTTATTGACCATTAGTGTATCATCTTTTATTAAGAATCTATGTAAGCCTTTTGCCTATTTAAAAAATTTGAGTTGTCTTTCTGTTGTTGATTGTAGGAATTATATGTTTAGATATTCAGGTTATGAATCCTTTATCAGATCTATGTAGTATAAATATTTTTCCTAGCTTGTTCCTTGGTTGTTTATTTTCTTAATGGCGTCTTTTGATTTATATGCTTATTTGCATATTCTTGGAAGGACAGACAAGAGCCTTGTTCCATTGTTTGTCTCCATAGAGAGACACAGGGTTGCTGGGAAACAGGAAATGCTGACCGGAAAAGTTTTCACCCTTTTGTATTTTGTAACATACAAAATGGTAGTTTGAGTATTACCTACTCAAATAAGAAAATAATAAAAGGATTTTAGAAGTTAGCTAGACCTGGGTCCATTGCTTGCTTGGGCATTTTAAGCTTTGTAAACTTGGAGACATTCTTTACCTAAAAATAATTCTCACATATAGTGACATCTACTAAAGGATTCTATAGTATATCCACCGATCTATTTTTAACCCAATGCCATCGTGTTTTTTAAAA